TGCGCAGATACATGTATGCGTCGCGTACCTATTTTTTATACTAAGTAATGGTATGAGAGAAATGTTTTAGACATTAATTTTACTGGTATTGGTCCGAAAAAATGTGTTTTAGTCGTGATTTTACAAGTATTTGTCGGGAAAATGTTTTTGAACCTTAATTTTACTCGTGTTTGTCCGGAAAATTTTTTTTAACCTTTTTATTTGGATATGTCCTGGAAATTTTTTTCCGTCCCCCCCCCTTGTTATCACGAGATTAGCGGTCAAAGTTCGAACACATGTTGCTATTTCGAGGTTGCAAGTGCTTTTAATTATCATGATGCCAAGAGTGATCAAGAGTATATGCGTAGGAGACAGAGTGAGTGGGAGAGAAATTCCCCCACCCGAGAAAGAAAAACACGCCGACAAATGAGGGCAAATATTGGAAAAAACTAGAATATTCGGGCGAACTTTCAGAAAATGTGCTAATTTGAGGTTATTTCATCGTAATCCTCAAATAAAATTCGGGCAAACAGACTAACTGTTCAATATAATACTTTGATTAGTTAATACTTTCTCCTGCCTTTTAATGTCAAAGAAATATGAAACAACAGAAGCTCTGAACCGACTGAACGAGTCAAAATCCGAGCAGAGTTGTCATGTATAAATCTTGCTGCCAGTCTTAGTTCTACTGTTTACCCTTAATGCATTGCGGCATGGCTCATAACATAATTCTGGAAAGAAATTGCGGAGAAATTCTGAGATTGGCAGCACTTGTTGTACAACACTCATCCAGACAATTTGTTGGCATTTAAGAAATGTTGAAAGTCAATATTTTAGTTATTCTGCTTGTGGTGTTTTGCTACGGCAAGAGCATTGTGATTATGTTATACATAATAAATGAAATATTGATCAGCTGAGATAGTACAGTATATATATTACGAATATAAACAGCCTGTTTTCAATATTTATCTGCATGATGAGATATGAATTGAATATATTACGGCGAAGTAAGTATACATACTGCTAATCTACAGATGATACAATTACCTGAAAAATACTAAAATAACCTCACGTCTGTAACCTTCTGCCGTCGCACTACTAACTTCACGGAAGAGCCTTTGCTCCAAACCGTCAAAGTTCATTTTGTCCTTTTCAGGTAGTCGCATCATCTATGTACAGATTTCGCAATTTCTATTCTTCACTCACTACACGGAGAGTTTATCAAGTAAAGTACATGAAATATGAATTTCAAGCAGAGAAAGAATTTTGAAAGATATATCACAGATGTATCTACACTTATAATAATATCCCGCGAACAGTCGGTGTAGGACATTGCGTCGCAGTAACAAGACAGCTGCGGATTGAAGAGATACAACTACGTAAAAAATATAAGCAGAATTACTTCGACGTTTCGAGCGAAGGCCCTACGTCGAAGTTCTGCTTATAGCATGTCTCTCTCAATCCGTATTAAACTGTCGAATAATAGTAAAACATGAACAGCATGTGACGAAAGGGTTATGATTAATATGCTGTTTAAATCAATAAGCCTTGTACTATATACTGTATTAGTGGTCAATGTAATTGCTGTAGAATGACGAAGCAGTGTCTTGCCTTCAATATATATAATTTCTGCTTATATTTATACAAGTTTTATCATGATACATTTTATATAATTCCACACTTCCGGCTTGCGACACGGCACTTGACCCAGCCAGAAATCTATATAAAGTGCTCTTGGTCGCTTGTTGGTATTTAATAAGACGAAATCAATTGGGTATTTCTGTTGTGTTTGAATTAAACAGTGTTATTTTTTTTAATGTGGTAATACATCACTAGCAATTTGCGATTTAAATAAAGTTCCATGTTTTTATATGATTTGAAATTCGAGACGTCTACATTCACATCGATTAACACTTGAAAGCTCTGAACGCTATTTTAATAAATTGAACAACACATTATTAATTAACACTACGATTATTCAGCCTCGTAATTAAAAAATTACTAAAGAGCCTGGGTACGAGGCTGAATAATTGTGGTGTTAGTTAATAATGTGTTGTTCAATTCATGCCAGCACGGATGCCAGCTACCGTATATATACCTAGCCTGCGGTATATACCCCAGCAGAATGGGGTCCACACCGTAGGCTAGTACTGGCTATGACATGATCATTTATATACACATTCATAATAAGTAACTAATAATACTACAGTAATGAGCGCACTCCTACTACTTGGGGTAAACTTCTAGATCAGTGGGGCAAATCCTTTAAATATCGTGTGTAAAGCGCTGCAACGGATTCTGCAAATGCACATTTAAATTGAGATACCGGACACTGATTCTCCCAGTCGGCTCAGCAATCTGGTTAACTTAACGCAGTGCCGCGGCTTCTGGTGGAATAAATATACAATATGCAGCCTAGTCCCAGTCGTTCTGAAGCAAGCGCGAGAAAAAAGTGGATGTAGTACGAGACTGGGACCTAGGTGTGACGTCACCGCTCAAGGTGCTTCAGAACGCCTAGCAGATTTCAGTATTTTTAATATGGCGGAAAATTTATATATACAAGTAACCTTTTAATTATAAATACGACAATGTTCGTTCATCATGTACATGTTCGATGTCTACATAACCAAATCAAACTGTATTAAAAATGTGCTCAACAAAAAAAAATTATATACAGATTTACGATACCAAGTTTGAGCAATCGTTGATGTTATTTATGTACTCGCAAGTTGTGATCAACACTAGACCATACTGGTATACACAACTACGCTTTCTACTTGACAGGTTTAAATTGCTGAGGAGATTGGAAATATTTGCCTGACATGACGGTGTTGTCAAAACATTCTTAGTCGGAGACTCGGCATAATTTTCAAGCTTCTAGATAGCATTTAATATGGCTAGATATTTTAGTAAACACGAGTCATTTTAAGCCCGTTATTCCATTCTGACCGTATGGCCGCGAAACGTAGCCTACTTCATTGTTCCGACAGCATTAGAGCAAAACTAATGACTTAATTATAAATGCAAAGGAAATTTCCATAACATTTTCCATTTACAAATGAGGTATGCTTGGTAACCTGGCCAGGGACCACTTTTTTGAAATCAGGGACCATTTTACCGAAATCTGCTAGGCTCTCTCGCTGAAGCGTTCCGCACAGCACACCCAGGCATAAAACTTTTAAGACTTATTTAAATATATCAAAGCAGCGAATAGAGAGAGGGCCTGGGACTAGGCTGTACAATATGTAAAACTTAATTAACAAAGGACATTGGCAATAAAAATTAGTTTAGTTCAATTGAATAAATTTAAAGCTATATATTTTTTATATCTTACATAGTTTTCTATTGGGGGTTAACCCCAAAAAACCCGTTCCTCGCTACGGCCCTGGGGGAGGGAAGAAAAATAAATGCAATCATAAAGGGCACCTAAAAAATTTTTCCCGGAAATGTTGCGAAAATGTTGGCATTAATCAAAGGCCATTGAGGCAAAAATGCAATCTGAACAACATTTTTAACGAACACAAATGACAAAGGGCACTTTGCCACCGAAAAAAGAGCACTTTTGAAAACTTGTGGGGCCTTGGCCCCCCTGGTCTCCCTCCCGGTTCCTACGCCCCTGGCGTATTAGGATGTGTCGAAAAGCTCTGTGTCTTCCAGCATGTCTTTAGCATGTCTTTGTAGATATCATGGATCTTCACTTCATTACATAGACTGTCCGTATCCGTGAAAAGCAACATAGCGTTAGTACCATACTTCTGTTTCATATATTCGTAATGAAACTGGTACATCAACACCCGTTTGAGAGATACAGGATTGTAAATCCCACATAGATTGGTCGATTTAAGTATAGCTTTGTCTTCTTCATATTCACAGCAGCGTGATCTTCAGAAAAAATGCGGATAGAGTCAAACGATGGACGAGCAGTTAGTTTTGTCCATACCTAATTTTAAGAATTTTTTATCACTGCACATTTTTGTGCAAAGTTTAGCCGAACAGAAACACGCCCTGAAAATTTCTGAATACACTCTTATAGTAACGTATAACAACAAAATAGGCTACAATTGTTATTCAAAAATGCCAAAATGAACATACACTGCACAGCACTCAGGGAAATTTGGGGGCCCAGGACAAACTTTAACTTGGGGGCTCTCGTGATTCCATGTTCTAACACTATGATTAGGGGGTTTGGTTTTTTAAAATCTGAGGTCCCAGAAATGGCCAAATCCTGCATTCTGGAAGTCTAGTTGACAGTTATATCTATGTATATTTCACTGCAATTCTTTATTTGGGCCCCCTTTTAACTGGGATCCCAGGGCAAATTGCACCCCTCTGGGCGTCCTTGACAGCACCTGCCAGTTAAGACTATAGATAGAATAGATAGATAGAAAAACTTTCTTTATCCACGCTAACCATGTCAACCGAGGCTGATTTTCACAGGGGGCATGTCTATCTATGACAGCTTAGTTTCATAATAACAGGACTGAAGAAAATAAATATTTTCGTCCTAATGGCAAATGAAAGGCGGCCTACGGGCTTAGACGTGACAAACCTCTAGAGGAGTTCCAGGGGCATGCACACACAGCCAATTTTGTAATCTAGGCACTATGAAAGGGCATCTCGTGCAATGCGTGGGGACATTCTATAGAATTCTGAAAATTATACAGTAATTACAAAATCATTCATTTCATCTTCCAAACTCATGAAGAGATATTTGGTGAGAGACTTTGTTCATCTGATAAACCATAAGTATGTTATTAGTGCGGACGTTCGATAATTTGGCAGTCATCATTTCAATTTCAATTAAATCATTCACATTCAAAATGTTTTGCCGGATTAGTTCAGTTTTTCTGCTAATTGTCTCATTTTCTTGTGTTAATTAACAACTTTTCAAAGCAAATTTCATCACTGCACATTTTACATTCTATCACTGCACATTTTACTTTTATCACTGCACAAATTGGTTATCACTGCACACTAAAATTAGGTATGGTTTTGTCAGCTTTGCCTTATCATTGACCAACTTGACATTGACTCGCTTTCTCAAATTCTCCACCGTCTTTCCAAACACCGCATTATTCATCAGCTTGTAGAAATAAGTCTCAAAGTCATTCGTGGCGTACTTTCTTCTTTCTGTGTTGAAATCTGTATAGGCTTTGAGCCATGGACTTTGTTGAAACGTCAAAGCTCTGTGAATTTCTGTCAGTTCCATTCCCAGCCCGAGATATAACTTCAGATTACGATAGTATACAATGTACTCAGTCTTATCGTTGAGGTTGGGTACTAGTTTGGCGACTGCGACACTTCCGAGCTTTAAATCTTCTGAGAGCTGTTTGCAATAGGGTGATAGCATTTCAGGACAAGTCCTCATCTTCTCAGGAGCCAACGGGTGATCATGTGGTTCATCAGGGACGCCGGAACGATGTGAATGCAAGGGGGGCAGATTTTCGCGAAAGGGCACTTTTGAATTGATATATACTAAGAGATGTTTGCAAAACATCCGTAGTTGAACTTCGCCTAATCATGTTTTCTATTTATTGGATGATAGGGGTGAGAGGGGGTTCTCCGCCAGACGATTGTACTATTCTTGAAGCTCGATGACTGCATTTCTTGCGTTTTCTGAAGCAAATTCGTAAAAGAATTGCACTAACATTTCTGACAATTCGCTATTTTGCCAAGGAAATCCTTTAAATTGAAAGGGCACCTTGCCCCCCCCCCCCTTGGCCCTCCTGGTAAAGGGCAACCGGGGTCACTGCCCCTCCTGCCCCCCAGTTCTGACATCCCTGTAGATCATGTAACTCCTAGGGTACTTTAAGTCGATTTTGAGAATATAACCTTCTTCAGAGTCATCGGGAATTTGCGTGATGTCAAGGTTGGAGATTTCTTCTTCATTTAACCAATCGAATTCACCAGTTGGTGGAGGTTGTTACATAGCCCAGCCATAAAGATTATTAGCGTCGAGATACATCACGTAAGATAAGTCTTGATCAGGATCATAGTCGGGGACGTAAGGATTGTTCGCTTTACCGAAACGGATTGGACCATAGGCAGCCCAATGTTATGGTTATTTCCTAATATTATTTCCTAAGGTAGGAAAATGCAATCAAACTAACGATACATATATCTTCAAACAATCCAAAATACTTCAAATATCTTTTCAACTACGCTAAAATATTCAAGGAAATAAAATCTACGATACTTTTACTATATACTAACAATATTTTAACGTACAAAACAAATTTGTAATGCGAGAAAAGTACGAAAAGTTTTTGCATTTTTTTCAATTTCAGAATGGGACGATGCTGGACTCGCGCTCGACGTTTTTGATGGCGTTTCAAATGACGAATTCCCAATCTCATTGGCTGTCTTTTTCGACGTTTTAAAATCGTCAAAATGACAGCCAATGAGATTGAGAATATTACATTGTCATATTATATTACATTGTCAAGAAACTTACTCTTTTTTTGGAATAAATAACTCTGAGCATACAACGCCAAAAATTGTGTTTTCTAACCTTTCATTGGCTAGCCATGGAGATTTACTTGATGCTATCTATAACATTTCTAGCAAGTTTGAACTCGAATTTAATTTCTGTGACATAAAAGGATCTTTGTATTTTGTAAGGGCTAATTCTTTATCTTGTTCAATTCAAGTGCTTAATTCCACCATTGAAAGCTATCGAGATCCGATATCGGCGGACTGCACTAATCTGACGATTCGTCTGAATGGATCGACGTTTTTCTCATGTCAAATTAAACTATCTTCAGGGACTGAATTTAGCATAAATTATTATGATTCAAAGCCAGAATCAAACGTTCGTATTTATGACTGCACTTTTAATACGACAAATAAAACACTATTTTGTAACTCGCTTGTTACAATTATTCTTGGAACTGCCATATGTAACGTGAACTTTTTGTGAACTTTTATGATATTGTAGGAATGCCAAAATCAGCGGCACTTCTAATATCGTCGCTCATTGGGCGAGTTGAAACAACCATAATTTTGGATATATTACGTTTTGAAAACATTGGCTGTGATTCTGCAGTGGTATATATGCATTTATTGAAAACTATCGTATCCGAACTATTTAATGTCGGTATTTTCAACTCCATGTTTGTAAACACCACCAGAGCATTCCAGTGCTATATCGACCAGTATTCCGTTATTCCCCGCTTCACTGACTTAATTAAGCTTCACAATAATACGTTTAACAATACAAGCGATACATCACGAAAAGAAGGCTTGATATATCTCGCCATGCCGATTTTTTCACAATGTCCCTGTATGCAATCCAGAATTTCCACTCATTCGGGTTGAAAATTCTGTCACAGTAACGTTTCAAAATTTTTTCTACAAAAGTTATCCAATTGCCGAAAGTGGTCGCAATGGTAATAGCTTGCTGAACACACAAACGATTTCGTTATGGAAGTCATGGAAGGGTATTTTACAATCTTTTGTCCCAAAGGTTATTGGATGAATTTAAATTGTCACAGCATTAAACAGTCGAGAAAGTTAACGGTTTGTAACCTTTTCTTGCATCTTGTGAGCAATGTCGGCCAAACACATACTCTTTAGACAGAGGAAAAGCTCATCACAACAGTACTAACAAAATCACATGCCAAAAGTGCCCTGTTGGTGGTGATTGCTCCGAAGGCAAAGTAACTTCGAAGAAAAATTTCTGGGAATGTGAGCCAAAGCAGAGAGTCGACTTTTTACAATGTCCTCCCAAATATTTCTGTGATATAGATCATTGCAAACACTACAACACTTGCCATGGTTACAGATATACACTCACCCTGTGTGGTGAGTGTCCCAGTGGTATGTCAGAATCTTTATTATTCAGCACAAAATGTAAACCTAAAAAGATTGCGCAAGTGTTATATTTTGGCCAGGGGTATCAGCTTACTCAATACTTTATTTCTTATTCTTCAGTTTCTTCTTGTATCAGGAAGATATATTCAATTTTGTGCACACTTGTGTTGTTTCAAGAATCTTTTTGCTCTCTAGAAATGGTCGATACACCAAGCCTGGAGGCCGATGCATATGATTAAAATAATATTCTACTACTAGAAAATACATCTATGCAGAAACCCTCGCCTTGCTGACAAAACCATTATATTTTCCGAACATGAAGTATCTGAAGTAGTTGTTATGGTAACACGATAATTTTTTAAGAATATTCTTACAAATGAAAAATCGCCTAAAAATATCCCTTTTAATTACAAAGTTATCAATTTCCCAACATATATATGTTAGGTATGATATTATACGTAATGTAAGCTTCAATTTAAGGTAAAATTCAACCACAAACGCTTCGCAAAACAATTTAAAGTGTTCTTTATAAAACTATATAAAAACTGCCTTTAATTCGAGCTTTAATTAAATGGCTTTATCGATAAACTTTGAGTTGGCAATAAAATGATTGCAAATTCTAGCATGCAAATAACTTTGCTTTCTTTTTTATTTATTTAAAAAATTCAATATAATAAAAAAGGGAATCAATATTAAAGATACAATGAAATTATATGCTGTCTTGTTTAGTTGTCAGTGGCGTAGCTAGCGAAATTTGACTAGTCCTGCTCTAAGACCCATCCATTCTAGGGGGGTCCGGGGGCATGCTCCCCCGGGAAATTTTGAATTTTAGAAGTCTGGAATGGCCATTTCCTGCGATTTCACGGCGAAATACTCCAAAGGGATCATCAAAAAATTGCGTGATTAGCGGAAAATATTTGATAATTTTTTTAGAAAAAATATTTGCAACTTTTTGAAACCAAGCATTTTTTTATCATATTTCACTATATATTTTCAACTTAACTGAAAATATAATGTCGGAGGAAAAGACGAAAATATCATGTATACAATACGCGTCTGTAATACGATCTTTCACGTGATCAACACATAATCCAACCTCACATAATCAACAATTGCGTAACTATTTATATACTATTGAACACGGCGTTTTATACACTATAACGCTACGGCTAGCATTCGTTAAAGAATCACTACGTTTGTTAGTAATGTGTTATAAAACTTTATATAATGGAGTGGTATCAACTACAGATCACTACGCCTGGCACTCTGAATGTAATTCAGTACGCTATGGTATTAATATAGCTAGCGTTTAATATAGTCTATGCGGCCAAATATCTACATAAACAGTGTGAATTGGTACAGTATATCATTTTTAAAATTGAACTCAATATAAGTGCTCGTTTCAAATGCAGAAAGCAGATGAACTG